AGTAGCTTGGCCTTATCCCCCCCCCCCCCACCTTTTTTTTCCCCCCTGTTCTTGTCACATGTGTGTTGTGATGTTGATGAGGCTCCATCATGGTGCTGGCAGGGGGTCCTTACGTACTCTCCAGGCCTGAGAGCCACTGAATGGGATTTAGCACAGGATGACAAGGGGAGAAGGAGATGGAGGTAGGCAGAGCTGCTGAGATAGGGTCAGTAGTTAAATTGTGTGTGTGTGTGTGTGTGTGTGTGTGTGTGTGTGTGTGTGTGTGTACTTCTATCTTTGTGTGCGTGGCCTGACTCTCATTTACTGATTTACTGTGCCGCTGCAGCCCCCGGTGATGCTCCTGATTAAGTGGTGGCAGCTGGACGTTCTTTGTTTTTCTTTCCCTCTTATCTCTTCAGGTCTAAAAGTGACGAGTATTTCTGTTTTAGTGCTTTAAAATAAAAAAAGCAACTCCAACAGAGCGCTCACTCTGTGCACTAGAGCAGTGCAAAGCCGAACCTCTGCTTTAGTCCGTCCTTAACTCTGTCTCTTTTTAGCCCTGTAATGGCTGCTGTGGTTTAGCTTTGGTGTGTGTAGACTGCCTGCGCTCCTCCATCGGTGGTTTTTGTTTTTGGGGGGGGAAGAGCCATTGCGTCTATTTAATTTAAATCCTGAAATAGATCAGGAGGCCTTGGAGAAAACTGATCCTCCTGCCTGAAGCTGAAGCCTCAATCACTCAGTTCTAGTCTTTTGGCTAAGGAATGGTGAGATATCCTCTTGCTATTGATGATTTATGAATGCTCAGAGCCCGAGAATCTTTTGACAGTGGAGCAAACAATGGAACTTCCTGACATTTGATTGATTATTTTTCTAACTTATCAGCTATTTGTTTGAAAGTCAGGTCAGGATAAGGTGTTGGATGTCTCTGCTGTCCCTGAGTAGACAACCTCTCACGTTCTTATCATAGATGCTGGCTCTGATTTCCAGTAAAGCAGCACTGCATTGGAAACGAGATGGGACCAGAAGAGTATATCTTTGCACCTTGGACTTCCTCTTCTTGTTCTTGAGTGATAGAGAAAATGTCCTGTAGTAAGGCGTTCTTTATCAGCACTGAAGATTAGGCTCCTTTCTGCCTCTAGCTTGATCGTATTTTCCTCATTTGATTTTAGATCTGGGATCATTTAACACCAGCTAAATGGTTCACTTTGTACAGTTACTTTCCTGAGAGCAGATCATACAGATGAGTAGCAGCTGGATGGTTGCATTTGCACCCTTGCAGATCGTATTGACTGCATCCATATGCCAATAGTTAGATTCCTTTATGATCCAGAAGGCTCCAATTGTGCAATATGGGACTTGGCAGGAGCTGCAGCCTAAAGGGGAAAGTCATTACATGGGCCTTTTTATTTAAAGAGGTTTCAGAGTTGAGTTTTGTTCAAATCACAGAAAGACCCAATAAAAAAGTCCAGGCCCACATTGATGGAACCTGTCCATGATTTGGTGTTTAGGTGATAACTATGGAAAAAAATCCGTCAGCGTGGTTTGATCATTTTCTCTGCAGAAGCATTGGTGTGTGTGTGTGTGTGCACAAGAGGGAAGGAGAGAGAGAGAGAGCTCTGTAGCAAATGATCGTATTTTAGAGAAAGTGCTCAAGCAGAGCTCCGTAATGTGGCCCCAAGTGATTCCAGGATTAATTGGAACCAGGTTCTGGTAATGAGATGGTATTGTGGTGTACCTGCCAGAGGCCCTGCTCCTCTTTACACGTTTATTTTAGAACCAAGTGCATATTCAGTGTCTGAAGCCAAAAAGATGTGTTTGTGTGACACACTCTAATCAAATCCTGATGAATACACACTTTCTCAGACCAGACAGGACTCGCTTCTTCTCAATTTTCTCGAGGTCTCTGGTGGGATCAGGCTCATGAGACAGCTGTTGTGGGACCAGCTGGGTTGGCCATGAAAAGGGAGAGGGGGCTATGTGTGTGTGCATGTGTTTAGGTGTATGTGTGTGTGTAAGTGGGATACTGGTGGTTTTGTACAAGAGGAGAGGTAGTGAGTGAAGAAGGCCGGACAGTGGGGTGGGGGTAGTGTTGCTGGGAAAAGTGAAAGGGGTAAGAGAGTGGCTAACAGACAGAGTTGAACAGCTGTCAGGTAAGTCCTCAACTCAGCGCCTCTGACCTCCATGTCACCCGACTATACAGCCCCATTTCCTTATTATGTTTATTGCAGATAAACACCAGGCTGTGTGTCTTCCTGCTCCTCAGCCTCCACGTGAGCTCGAAAGGTTCAAAACATATCAGTTTTGCACATGTGATGTTTTATTCCACCAAGCCTGACCAGGGTTTTCTGGATTGTGAGCCTGTATCACACTCAGACTGGTTCCTGTTGGTGCCAGACAGGCCTTGGCTGCAGCCCCCCCCCTGGCCTCACTTCCCCTCCACTCCTGCCTTCTGGCCTGCCATGATCTGTCCCTGATCTGGTGAGGAGAAGGAAGCATCTGTTGCCTTTTATGGCAAAGACTTGCCTGGGAGAACTTTACCAAGAACAGACAAATCTGTGTGTGTGTGTGTTGTAGTGAAGGAAGACTATGTACGTATGAGGGGAGGAGTGTTGGCATAGAGGAAGTTTTCTTTATCCTAAAATAAACGAATGGCTCCAGAATTTCACCTCCCCTTACCACACAAATGTTCGCAAAAAGGCGGAGGAGGCATTTATATGGAAAATTATGAAATTACAGAGGGAGGGAGATTCACAGGAAATGGCTCAGTGCAACAGAATGTTTTCAAAAGGAAGGGGTGGGCGGGGGGCGAGAAAGATCTGACTTGAACTTTTCACGGGAACGGAACAGTGCTTAGCGAAACCTTTGAAAAGTTGTGAGAGCTGACGGTGTCTGTGGATGAGGCGCTTTCCTCGGGTAAAGCTCTTTCACATGATGGAACATGTAGCTCACAGCGCTAAACCACACTGACCTCATGAATCTGTCTGTGCCCTTATGGGCAGGAAGAATGGTTTGTTTTTGGAGGGGGAGAGGAAGCAGACGGTGATAAGGAGAAAAGAAAGAAATTGTACAACAATCATGAGAAGGAACTTCAAATTGGAAATAAGGGAAGAGTTATTAATCAGTGAGCTGGAGTGGAGTTCCTGGAGGGAGTTGAACAAGGAGCTAATGGGGCAGGGGGATAGTTAAGGGCCGAAAGATAAAGGGAAAGTGGTTGAGTGTGAGACTGTGAGGCCTGAGGTTTTGACCCTGAACAATGGAGTGTTTGGACAGGTGAGCCAGCAGCCATGAGGAGGACAGAAGGAAAAACAATCTGAACACGGCACAGAAAGAGAGCAAAGCAACAGGAGGTGAAACAGAAAGTGGACGCTCATTAATAAATCGACAGCATTACAATCGGCTGTGTCCTCGTGTTTTTAAATGAGGCCTAAACTAGCTCAGGTACTGCAAGATAGGAAGAGTCAAATACCTCGATTACCCAACAAATGAGAACCCGAGCCGTGTCGAGTGCGTCTGTGAACGTGATTCTGTGAGTGTCTCATTCGGATTGTAACATTTCTATAAGTGGCTCAAAGGCAGCATTTCTCCTGATGGAAGAATTAAGACAACAGCTGACATGTAAACATTTACAAAGTATGGGGCTGCGGGCTCTGTGTGCGTACGCCTGTTGATTTGCCTTCCCTTGTTTGCCGAGGTGGAAGGCAGGGCGACGCTTCCTGGAGAGGGGAATTAAACTGCAGAGGGCTTTTGAACACTGCTCTGGCCAAGAGGCCTTGTACTCCACAGTCCTGTCATGTTTTGTAAGTGTTTATTAGTTCCCATGGATATCAGCTGGGCCTGTGTCAATCTACCTCCTCTCCTCATTCCTTTCTCCCCCCTCTGTTCCTACTCTCCCCTCTGTCCTCTAGTCTTCCTAATATCTCTGGCTCCATGTCACCCTGCAGAAAAACAACCTATTTCCTGCAAAGTTACTTGCTGCAGAAATCCAAGTGAAAATGAGAAGGTTCTTGGCTGCTGCTGAAAAAGTAGTGTTTATGGTCCCTCGTCATCAGTGCTGCTAGAACAGCTCCTTTCGGTCCAGGAGCTGGAGCTGGTGTTTAGACAGAGGGTGGGAAGAGAGGAGGCATGAGGACTGGATATGGGGGGGTGAGCGCGAGACAAGCGGAAATGAGGGTCAGCAGAGGTACGATAAATTCAGGGAGCAAACTGACACTCCTTAAGCAAACTTAAACAACAGTAGCAGAGGAAAGAAGGAACAAAATGAAGCTGTAGTGGAAAAGCAGCAAAGTTGAATTAAGTCTTTACAAGACGAGGATACAAAATATATTGTCGAAGCTGCCGATCACATCTATCAATCGTCCTCTTGTTTATTTGCCTCCCGTATCAAGCCTTTCGACCTTTGACCTCAGATTGCACTGCCTCCTCTGATATGGACTTGGAGCAGAGGGCTGGGGAGGTGGGGGTCACAGCCCCTGGAAGTGCAGGAGGAGTGTGATATGACACCCCTATGCTAATACTAGCAGTGGAAGTACAAGGCGCTGGGGACGTCTGTCTGCTATAGACCTAGCGTTAGGTCAGAGTTAGGGGTCAGGTACAGCAACACAGGAGTCTTTGTTTGCGTTTTTATGGTTGCTGTGAATCCAGTGTCGCAAAAGAATCACAAAAAAATTGTGATTCTGTTTTATAGATATCTGGGGTTAGAGCTCAGGCCACAATGCATTTATAACATTCTGGCTGCAAGTGGCTTCTTCCATTGACGGTGCATTAACTTTCTTGTTCATCAAGTGGAATTTTATTGCACAACCAACTTTTGCTTATTCGTCACTCTGTCAGTATCTGGTTGGTTACAAGATGTTTTTACAGTGGCATCATGTAAGCCTGTCTGGAAAAGTCTTAAACTCATCCTTCATGCTTTTCAGGGTCTAATTAACTGGTAAAATTTTGGCATTTAAATCACGCTCTGTGCTTTTCTTATCGAGTCCTTTGCATCTCCTTAACCTGTCCTCTTTTCTTATATGTTATAGGAAGTCGAAGACGAAGCCAAATGGAAAGAAGCCTCCGGCAGAAGAGAAGAAGCAGTACTTGGAGCCAGAGTTCACGAAAATCCGTGTGGTGGACTTTGACCTCAAGGAGCTGGTGGTGCTGCCCAGAGAGATAGACCTCAACGAATGGCTAGCCAGCAACAGTGAGTGACTGACAGTGGTGGTGGTTGAAGATGATGAACACAAACAAATTCTACTTATCTTATCATCGTATCTGAGACATAAACTCCTTAAACTTACTCTTAGATTTATGTGAAATTTTCCTCAGGAGTTAGGAATTGTTTTTCCAAGGTGGTATGCACATGTCATCTGGAGACAACGAGATGTTCCAGTGTGGCTGCAGAGCCAAGCAGTTAACAAAATCCAGGCATGGCACATCGCTGAGCTTGTTCCGATAACACCACACACACACACACAGCTTCTTTAAACATCATTGATTACTGCCAGATTTATTCCGGGTGCAGTGGTTCAGCTCTTATATTTGTCATTCTGAGGGGGAAAGGAACACAACAAACTTTCTACTGTCGTTTTTTTTTCAGGTGTTATAAAACAGATGGGACCTTTTCAAAAAGGTTAAATTATATAAGCTGGCAACCTCTCACTGGAACACAATCACTAGGGCTGAATGCTTTGACTGAATCGTTTTTAATCAAATCAGTAATGAATGAAGTCATTTAATTCTGCCGATAAGCATAAACCGGCAGTACTTTCACTCAATGCTTTCCTCCTCGTGCCTAGTTTGTCTCGCAGGAAAGGACTAGATGAGTCCTGTGGGATGGATTTGTTCCATTAAGGGAAACTGAGATTTTGGAGTTGGAAGGAATCAAAGTCATTGAATGCACCGCAACCATTTCAGTATGATATATGATTATTTCCTCAACATGACGTCAAGAAAATCACAGGCCTGTTCTCACAAATTGGAGCCAGACCAGCAAAACTGCTGCTGCTCAGAGATGCTCAGCACAGAAGCCTAAACAATATGTGTAAAATATTTTAAAGGTTCTTGCCTGTGGTGTACAGACCTCCCAGCGTTCTGTAGGTGCGGCAGCTAATCGCCATAAAGTATTTAGATAATACCTAAACATAAGAGTTTCCCCAGATGTGCTGCTGCAAGCTTGAAGTAAATGAATCGTTAACTGTCAAACATAGACTCTACAGAATGTGACCATACAAGAAAGTTCCCACATTTCTGCACACATCTAGCAGAGCTAATGCCTGATGCTTTGTTTTGCAGTAAGACGAGCTGCAAGGGAGTTTCCCCCGCAAATACCTGTACCAATTGTAAAGTGGAGTAACAACTTAAACTTGCCAGAACTCTGGCCACCTATTTTTACGTTACATTTTTTCTGAAGTTCACGCACACACACCGTTGAAGGATGTTGTGACTTGATGGATTAGTGTGTGTGCATGTGACTGTTCACCGATCACAGCGACAGATAAAAAGCCAGCGAGCGTTACTGTAGGCGTTTCCTCGTCATCCAGAGAAAGTGACTTGATACAAATAATTCACTGATATGTTTTAGTCATTCATTAACCTCATTGTCACGTTCACGTGAGCAGCAAACATGCACTGAATAACGCTGTGATCTCTCTCTCTCTCATTTTCTCTTCAGCGACAACGTTCTTCAACCTTATCAACCTGCAGTACAGCACCATCTCAGAGTTCTGCACTGGGGACACCTGTCAAGCCATGACGGCCTGCAACACGTAAGTTACCTCTGACACTTTTTGGTTTATTCATCACTCGCCTGCTCAGCCCCATTGGTTTATTCATCAGACATCCAGTGTCCCATTAGTTCATTCACCAGGGGACGCCTTCTCTGGTCAGCGACGCACAACCCACAGAGTGCTCTTGCATTAATTCAGGTCTTTGTACAATCTGCACTGTCCATCTTGGAATGTGCATTATGCAGCTTTAATGTACTGCAGCAACCTTTATATTTACATAAGAGCTGCAGGACACCAGACACTGCACTTTTAAGTCTGCATGCTTCCAACGTCTACTAATGTTTTTTAAAGGATGGTTCACATCTTTGTCTGTTTCCTGACTTATAGTCGTAGAAGGAAATCTGGTTTAAACACAATTCCAGTGGATGTGATGCCGGACAAAGTCCACAGTTGGTGGATTTAAAGGAAATCAATTGGATGTCATTTAACAGGACAGTGGAAGACTGAAGACATTTTGAGTAGAACATGACCAATATCATTTTTTTGGGAGGGGGTGGGGTCCATGCCAATACCAATTTAAGGGAGGAAAAAACTACTAAAAATGATTACTAAGATCAAACCTATATGACAGAGGAATATAATTCAGCCTCAATGTTTTACATTTTAACCATACACGTTATTATAAATGACTGTAAATGAAAAGAAATGACAATACAATAAAATATATAGAGCTTTTATTAAAAACAAAAACAAGATATTGCCGATATTATTTACCAGCTGATAAATCGGTCATTACATTCGCATCACACACATTTCCGAGATGGATCGATCAAACTTTCACCGAAAGAGTTTACGTTTAAAGTTTGGACTTTGTTCCACAGCTGAAACTGGCTCTGCAGTGGAAAACTCATGAGACAAATTATTATTAAAGTTTCTGTGATGTTTTTAGAAGCAAGTTGTAGTTTCATTTCTCTCCGAAGGAGAGCCGGTTCACATTAACAAGGGGGAGGTGACTAACTGTAAGTGTTTATCTAACTAGTTTGCCCTGTCGGGGCGCGGTGCCGTCTTTATACGTGAGCCCTTTATTCCCCCTGTGAATACTGGAGGCTGGAAAAACTTGATTACCTACAACACTCACTACACAGCTCTGAACACATACAACAAGTAAACACACTTGCCCACATGCTCACCGTGGAAATAAATGTGTCAGTGACATCCACGCCGAGCAACACAACCATTGAGAAATGACATGGGACATATTTGCTGAGAGAAAGAAACTTGTCACGCGTTAACCTCTTAGTCAACAGAGGATTTTTCCACTTCTGTAACCTTAAACTACTGCCACTTACCCACACCCTGAAAAATGGAGGAAGCAAACATGCTTTGCCTGCGGCGTGTGAAGAGAGGAGAAGATTAACATGTTTTTAGTTTGAGCTGTCTATTTGAGTTAATGTGTTAATGAGGGGAAAACAAAGTTAAACAGGTTTTTCTCGGGCTTCTCTGCAAATGTTTAAATCATTTGAGTTTTTGTAGAACTTACTGTCAAAGCTATGTTTCTAAGACAAGGCCCACCATTTACGATTGTAGCTTACTTCGCTGCCCACTACCCAGAACCCCACCCTTTCCTGCCCTGGCAGGACCTGGCACCCCCACCTCCTCTGTGGTGAAAACTTGACTGAGCCACAGTCGCAGCAGCGGCAGTGCCACGGCCCGAAGGCAGAGCTCAGCACTATTTTTGGAAGAAAATGTTTCCATGAGCTATGAGGGAACGGAACCATTTGGTAGCTATTTAGACCCATTTTATACGGGTGGGTGGATAGAGGCAGAGTTGGTAATGCACTTTCACTGTTTATAAGCTGGATGGGAAAAAAATAAGCACATTAAGGTTCAGATTCAGACAACTTTATTGATCCCAAGAAGAGCAATTCATTTTCCCCCGTTCACGAAACAACATCCAATATGATACGTATCAAGAAACACAGGTCAACGAACAAACAGAAGCCGGTGAAGGACATCTAGATAAAGATTGAGGAAGTGAAATAAATAAAAGACAATTAGATACTAAATAGACATTTGTCACATGTGTTATCATAGTTATAAAAGATGTCATTTAAAATGACCAGTCTGACTTTCTATCTGTCACTGGACGAGAGGCCAGGTACACTGAGGACAGGCCACCAGTGAATCTCAGACCTGACTTGTGTAGCAGTATTTTTGCTATACAATAATATGTATGTTTGTAGATAACTCTCGTCTGTGTGTGTGAATGTAGTAGTGAAGGAGACATGTTTGTAGTTCAGCCAGTGTCTCTCCCACACACAAACACAGTCTTGTGTGAGTGAGAGTCTGGAGCCGGTGCTGTGGTCAGTAGGTCTCATTCTGCAGGGTCACTTCTGTGGACGCTTTACATTCTTCAGGATTTGTAACGTCTGCAGCACTGACTCGCACCCACGCTAATAAAAGACCGCGTATATTTTCTTTTTAACCGACCAGGTCACTGAGATCTTTCTTTTGTCTGTGGCTACCCCCCCGGTCCTGTCTCACCCTCTCGCCCGCTGCTTGATCGGCTTCCTTCGATGTGTCGGCTGTTTAACTCTCTGTCCACCATGACTCCAAGCTTCACGCTTTTACTGCAGCTATCTGCGTCAACTATCTCTCTGCCTCCAGAAATATTTGACTAGTGTTGGTTCAAGCTTGAGGACTGAGGGGGCGGTTGGGGTCCTGTTAACTCCCATGACTGCTGGGAATTTAGCCCAATTAGGAAATTGTAGCATCAGGGCACAGCGGTTCAGCAGGTTCACTGAAATCTCAACATGATCACGTATTAACTGCGATTTTATGAGTGTCCCTGAGCTGTAATGGGTTTTCAACAGAAAGTGAAACGTGACCAGGATGCATCTGGGGTTTTTTTGCTGCATAAGGAAATAAAGCAGGTGATCATGTCTGAGCTGCTGCTGCCTGAGCTAAAACTTTTCAATTGAAAATATTTATTTTGATTAAAGCCACTTCAGTTATGTAATGACTTCCTGCTCTTCAGTAATTTGTCTGTTGTTATTTTGTAATGACTCCGTGACAATAGGCACTGACGTGTTTTCTCTCTCTCTGCTCTAGAATATACTACTGGTATGACGAGAGGGGGAAGAAGACGAAGTGCACTGCGCCGCAATATGTCGACTTTGTAATGAGTCTTTGTCAGAAACTGGTCACAGACGAGGAAATCTTTCCTACAAAATATGGTAAGTCTCTGTTAACAGGCCTGTTGGGTAACACATGATGTGCTGCTGCCCCCTGCTGCTTATTTTAGGAAACTGTAAATAAATGATGGTCCGTTGTAATTTCTCAGAATGTCACTAATCACATTTCAAAACCAAAACTAAAGAGGAATTGATCAAGTGTCCAGAAAAGATTTAAACTACTTTCATTACCAGGATCACATCCTGTTCTTTATTTTAAATTGGTTTTAATTCATCATGCAGCAGCTTTAAATACTCATGAGTGAAACAACTGTTTAAGAACCTGCAGCACAAATAGACATTATAAATTATAACTATATTTGTCACTAGTTTTTAAATACTGACATCATCTGTAGCTACAGAAAGTGTAGGACACTGAAAGGTATTCGGTCAAAATGGGGTTTTCACGCCTGAAAATTTGAACCATGGTGCAAGCAACCCTTTACCTCTGCTTCTTTTTCTTCTTCTTTTGTGTCTCAACTTCTTACAATTGGTCCAAAAGTCCGAACTGTCCAAACTGTTTTATGTCAATAAGAAAAATATAGAGCGACACCTTGTCTTTAAATCATAAAGTATTTCTTCCTCAGTGTGAATCCTGTTTTTAATCCGTCTCCTGTCTGGTTTTGTTCCCTTTTCCCTTTTTAGGCAAAGAGTTCCCCAACTCCTTTGAGTCCTTGGTAAAGAAGATCTGCCGGTACTTGTTCCACGTGCTGGCTCACCTCTACTGGGCGCACTTTAAAGAGACGGTGGCTCTGGACCTGCAGGGCCACCTGAACACTCTGTATGCACATTTCATCGTTTTCGTAAGGGAATTCAACCTGGTCGACCCCAAGGAGACCTGTATCATGGACGACCTGTCCGAAATCCTCTGCACCCCCGCCCCGCCACCTGCGCCCGCCCCGGCCCCCTCCAGCCCAACCTCAGCGCCCTCCCCTTCCTCACAAAACCACGTGACGGAGAGATGAGCAGGGGGGCGCGGCGGTGAGACAACAGCCCCGGGGTGATAGAAGATAGAGGAGAGAAGGAAAGACGGCCTGGCCCCCTGCCTCGGTGCCAGCAGGACTTAAGAGACCTTCCACTACCCTTATATTTCGCTATGACATCAACCAACCAGCCGCAAGAAAGGGGGGGAGGGTTTCTGGGGTGGGTGGGGGTGTGGGGGTGGCGGGGAGGGGTTTGTCACGCCAGCAGGAATTGGCGTGAGCGTTCCTCCCAGGGGCAAATCCCTCCCATCTTCTCTGCAATTTAAACTAGGAACAAAAAAGTATGTGTATGTTTTATTTTTTGGTTTTATTTCATTTTAATTATATATTTTTTTTTTTTATTCAGTTTTATTTTGTGTTGTGGGGGAGGGTGGAGGGGGAGGCGGCAGAGCATCTGTTGGCCCCTTACGTCCCTCTGTCCTCTGCCCAACACACAGTACAGGAAGGGGGCTCTGCTTTGCTTTGACCTACTATTGTACAGTGCTGATGTGTGGAGAAGAGGCGTCTCTGCTCACCTGCGGGCTCGGCCGTTCTGCCACCTGCAGCGGTGGGGGGGGGGGGCGGCCCGCGGGCCCATGGCCACTGCGCTGGCCAGTAGGGAGCCATGTTACTGCCTGATGGGGCGATACTAGCCAATCACTGTTTGGGTTGTTTGTGCCGGGGATGATTAAAGCGCTTCCTACTCAGGACCTGAGAGAATACGTCACTGCTGCCAGAGAGAAGTTGCTCTATTTCTCTTTTTGTTGTTTTTGTTTTCATTCTCTGTCCCTTGTTGTCCTGACTCCTCTGTACGACAAATCATGTTTAACCACAGTCACATAATCGCCTGGTGTACCCCCTAACAAACGTGTCCCTGAGCCTACCTGTAGAGGGCAGCAAACACAAAGAGAGAACCACAGAAACAGGGACACGGAGTAGAAAATGTAAAGATTGTATGATCGATTTCTAATCTGATCACAGAGCGGCAGTGAGACAGACTGGTGCCCGTCTGCAGCGGAGTCAGAGCCGTTTCCTGGCCTCCTCAGCAGCAGCCTCCTTAAAACGCCACCGCTAACCCCCCCACTGCAGCAGCACAGGAGGACAAAGACATGAGGTAATGTCTGCAGGCCCAGAGAGGGGGAGAGGGGTGAGAGTGATGGGAGTGGAGCTGCTCTGCTGTTTAACAGACACCAGTGCTCACGGTGTAAAAGTAAAAAAAATCTTCAGTTTTTTTTTTTCTACCTGTCCCTTTAAATTTGCTGTTAAGATTATCAGAGGACAATTAGGTCAGAAATAATAACGATAAAGACATTACACATGTATAGAAATGCACAGTCTGCTTGGACTTTACTGTACAAAGAATCGCAAGCGGGTTCTGTCAGACATAGCCTCTGTATGGAGGAGGATGGGTTTATAATTCTCCTTTTTTATTTATTTTAATTCTTTTTTTGCAGGGTTCTTCAGTTCTGGCTCTCGTTTTTATGTATTTTAATTATTAACTAAGTTAAAAGCAATTTAATATTTTAAGCTCTGCGGATTATAATCTAATAAAAGAGAGAAATGCCACCGTGTCTTAGCGTCTTTTTGTCAGAATGTGTTTGTGTAAATGATTCGAAAGGGAAAGACACTTACATGAACAGATTTTACTACTCGGCCTGTGAGAGCGGTTTTAAATCGTGTGAGTCTGGAGGAGACGTGTCATGTCTGAGGAACCAACACATGGTGTCTGAGTGATGTCATCAGGGTTATCTCCCTTGTAGTGTGGAGAGAACAGATCTATATCTATGAAAAAATAATACTTGGTTAAACTGGGGTCATTAAATATGAAAGATGTGAGTGAACCAAGAGTCAAATACTCTCAAAAAGTCAAGATGCTGCTGCTTGGATTTCAGCATTTAAGAAGAGATTACAAAAAATGTATAATAATAAACTGAATGCTGTGATTTTACTGATAAAAACGTGTTAATAGTACCAGTTTAACTTCTGATCCAACCAGTGATTAGGAGTGAGGGATCGTTATATATAAACGTGTGTATATGGTGGCATATACTGTATTTTGGCTAATGAATATCAAGAAATCATTTTACAGCAATTATCCATCTTGCAGTAAAAATAATTTAAAAAATGTATTTATTTATTGCATCATTTTGTTTATAGTAGAATAATCACTAAAACATTAATTTGATTGTGTTATAAGCAACAATATAATGATCCCTAATCCCAGGCATGTTTCAGATCAGATGTTAAACTGGTAGTATAAACCTTTTTCATCTGTAAAATCACAATTTTTATTATTACTTTACAACCAGTAGATTTTTGTAACTTCTCAAATATCAACACGGGGCTACAAAAATGATCCAAAACTCTATGGAAATACAAAACTCTTAAATCCCATTTATGCACATCTCTTTATTTCTTAGATACATGCAGGCAACTCTTCATCATAAATACAAAAAGATAAGACACATTCGAACTGGACCTCCTCTTCATCCTCTTCATCCTGGATGTAAAGTCACATCTCAGTGAATTCCGACTTTGTGCTTCATCACCCTGAGAATGAAATCATGTGCGTGTATTTGACAAAAAACAGATATTATAACAGTTAATTCTCTTCATACTCGATTGGTTCTCACACAAACTGCTGGTTTACACGAGTCTTCAGTTTGTTAAACTTCCATCCTGGACCTGCGCAGCACCGTGGAGCCCTGGCGCCTTCTCACAGACGGCCGCAAGGTGACGCCCTCGTTCAGCTTGAACCGGGCGATGCCTCCCGCCGCGTCCAGCTCCTTGGCGCTGCAGCACGGGGTCGGCACCTTCACCGTGTTGCCGAACTTTGAGTAGTCCACCGCGTACATGCCGTCCTCCTCGGACACCGTGGGCACGAAGCGCTGGCCCCACAGGATCTCCTCCGCCACGTACGAGGTCCGGGCCTGCGTGGTGATGCCGGTGGTCTCCACCACACCCTCCAGCACCACCACCACCTCGATGTCTTCGTGCTGCAGGTCGGAGGAGCGCAGCTCGTACAGGGGGCTGTCCTTGTCTATCACGTGGCAGATGATGAGGGGGGACACCAGGAAGATGCCGTTGGTGCCCACCGGGTTGTCCAAGTGGATGTCGATCTGGTCCAGCGGCACCACCTCGCCCTCCTCCGTCGTGGTTCTCCTGACCACCTGCATCCGCACGGTGGCGCTGATGATCATGCTCTTCCTCAGGTCGCCAAGTCGGATCATGAAGCACATTTTGTTGTTGCGCACGGAGATGACGGCGTGCTTGCTGAAGATGAGCGTCTCTGCGCGCCGGTTGGCCTGCGCCGTTTTCATGAAGATGCAGCCGAGCATGATGGCGTTGATGACCAGGCCGACGATGTTCTGCACAATAAGGATGATGATGGCGGAGACGCACTCCTCTGTGATCATCCGGCCCCCGAAGCCGATGGTCACCTGCACCTCTATGGAGAAGAGGAACGCGGAGGAGAAGGAGCGGATGTCCGTTACGCACGGGACAAAGTCGTCTCCCCTTTGGTCTAAGTCGCCGTGCGCAAAGGCGACGAGCCACCAAATCATCCCGAAGAGGAGCCAGCTGCACAGGAAGGACATGGTGAAGATGACGAGCGTGTGGAGCCATTTTAAATCGACCAGAGTGGTGAAGACGTCCTGCAGGAAGCGGCCCTGCTCTCGGATGTTGGTGTGCGCTACATTGCAGGTGCCGTTCTTGGCGACGAACCGAGCTTTCCCCGATTTCGCCTTGAACTTGGGCTGCACGACACCTTCAGCCAGACGCGTCAGCAAGTAATCCTCAGGAATGAGTCCTTTCCTGGACAACATAGCGCTCCCATACTACGGTGCCTCAGCCTTGTGGCTCTTGGGGGGGCACTCTCTGCCCGGCTGGAGGCTGGAAGACGAATGCTTCGCTTCTCTCTCTCTCTCCACCGGTGCCTTTTCTCGCCGGCGTCAGCTCCTCGGTCGCTGTCGTGCGCAGGAGGCAGAGTCTCCTTGGGGCCCGTTTGCTGGAGGTATGTGCGCTCCTCACGTTGCCTCCAGATCAGGCGCTTCACAGCCGCGAAGTCCCATGAGAAGAGTCCTCTTCCAGCTCCGCAGCTGCCGCCGTCACTCAGCTCACAGACCGACCGTCCGGGCGTAGCTGCTGCGCCGCGCCGCCCCGTCCCATTGCGCACCGGCGCACCGGTGCCTGTGCGCAAAGGAAAACTCAGCGAGTTCTGAAACGTTGAGGTCGAAGCCCTGTGAGCTGCTGCGCTGAGGTTTATCACCTTTGGATGAGGAGACAGGTTCATGTGGCGCAGTTGGCTCAGCGCTGATTCAGCTCGGTAACGTGAGCTGGTGGAGAGACCCTCCCTCTGCTCTCTGATACCCTTCCTGTGATTTTCAGTGAGCGAGCAGCAGAGGACCCATTACGCGTTAGAAGCAGTTCAGTGGTGCAGCTGTAAAAAGCCACAGGCAGCTCACACTCTGAATATACAAACGAAATAAAGGCCACTTTCTGGAAACTCAGCTTCAGGCTGTTTGGTTTTATCTCCAGCAGCTTTAAGTCTGAGTTCACTCACAGGAGACAGATTTAAGTCCTGGGTTCTTGTTCTTCTCATACCAACCACAGACAGATTATATTTTACAGACCACTGAGCTTCTCTGGCATCCACATAACTTTCCATGTCACATGTCAGTCCTGACTCGAGCAGCTGGACTCATCGTTTGTCTCCAAATGTACATTTTTAAGTTGAAAAGCACCTTGTGTTTTAAAGGGTGCTACATAAACAACGTTTATTATATTATTACTATTTTATCATTTGCACCAATGCTTCATTTGATTAAAGCAGGGTAAGTGTTAAATCTCTTATTTAAAAAAAAATAATAATATGACATTTACCTGGATAATTGTCGATATTAAAACGAATCATTTTTTATTGTGATATAATTTTTGGCCACATTGTCGAGCCCTACCCATCCCACACACACACAAGCACAAACCACATCACTATGGTCATCATAACCAAGAGAAAACAATAATGTGAATGATAATTTATGTTTTATTAAGAAAGATTTAATATATTTTAATGTACAAATATAATACAACGTGATTAAAAAATAAAAGGAATATATTCCATGGGACAATTGCACTTTGAATATCATCCTTTACTGCTTCCTGTCTCTTTTTTTTGTGCTACTTGTCAGCGCGCACAAAGGAGGCGAAGACGCTGTCCTCCGTGTCCAGCAGGGCCTGGGGTTTGTCGTACTCCAGGATGATGCCCCGCTTCATCACAATCACCAGGTCGGCATTCAGGATGGTGTGGACGCGATGCTGTGTGGTGGAGAGCGGGAGGAGAGAGCGATTACTACATCGGAGAGAGCGTCGGTCGCTAATCTACAGTGAAATGTCCTGTAAGAGATTTTAAAGCAACACTATGTCACTGTTACTGAGCGACAGCGCCCTCTGCAGCCACATGTGGAAACACCAAAGCGTATTCATTTAATTTAAATAACAGAAGCTCAGTTGCAGTTTGGCTGCTCTGACATTTTAACACTGGTGAATGATCTTTTTAGCAATTGATCATCAAATCACCGAGAGAATCCTGAGCTCCACGTCCTCCTGGAAGTCCAGCATCTCCTTGGATTTCCCTTCTCCTCCTTCTGTCGCTAATCTTTTTTCATTTTCACCTTCATCCTGCAGAAACCGTTCTGTGCACGCTGCATTACTTTAGAAGAATAACATCGGCAGTGTGGATGAGATACTCACTGCTATAGTTACCACTGTGCGGTCAGCGAATGCGGTCATCACCACTTTCTGCAAGATGCTCTCCTGTGGGGCCGCATGCAAAGAGAGGGGGGGGGGGGGAGAGGAGGGACACAAACAAACTTACTTTCACGTTAACTGAGAATAAAAGTGAATGTTGTTTATCAAACTGTTCCTCGAGGGCAGAGCTGCTGCGTTAATGTAAACTAGAAACGTCGGCTCTTTGTGACCGATCATTCAGGAGCGGGTCTGAAGTGAGGAGCAGTCATTCACAGACACAGTTTCCCCTCAGGCTCTGCACTGCACTCAGTATTCTCCCTCCATTTCAATCCCCCTCTTTCTGCCTCACGCACACTCTTCCTCCTCCTCCTCCTCCACTCCGACTTTCGATTTTATCCTATTTAATCATTCTCTCCTCCTTTTCTCTTCTTCCTGCTCATTTTTCATACGTGGGAATGTGTACAAGTATACATGTGTAGCTTTATTGTTTTGTTTTGTAAAATTAGTGTTGGATTACACTGAAATTAACAAACTAAACTTTAAGATCGAGATTGAGAAACACATGAGACATTTTTACTTTTAAAAATGAATACATGTATTTTATCACAGGTCTAAAAAAAAATCCAATTTCTTTCGACTTTCCTTTTGTTTTCTCGTCTATATATGAAAATCTGCTAAACTTCATCTCCTCCATCTGTTTCCTCCCTTCATCATCACCCCTCCACTTCCTGACTCAGTGATGCAGCTCTCTTAAAGCAGACACTGACCGTTGCCATGTCGATGGACGCCGTGGCTTCATCCATGATGAGGATGCTGCTCTTCCTGACGAAGGCTCTGGCCAAACAGAACAGCTGCCTCTGACCCTGACTGAAGTTCTCCCCTCCCTCCGTCACCGTGGCATCTGAAAGAAACAGATGTGCAGGATGAAGTCGAGGTGAAAATGTCCGATACGAGCCTCTCAATGATATATGCGTGTTCTCTTCTAAGTTTTATATATTTGGTCGATATTTGGAACGTAAACTGTAAAACATCAATCCTCAGTGACATCTTTATCCCAACATTAGCATCGGTATCAGTCAGGCTAAACAACATCATCGTTGTTGACTGGATTTTTGTATTTCCACATAATAAAACCTTAAAAATACAATGAACCTCTTTAATTTCACAAACTAAATCAACTTATTTTATTTTGAAAAAAACTCATCATCATCGCCCCCTGCAGCGCTGTAACAGAACAATATCTTATGAAACATGTAGCTGCCCTGAACATAAATTAGAGCAGTGAGTAGCTCAACATGTCACACACACACACACATTTGTCACCGTCACACAGGACAAGTGAAAGCAGCTTTGTCTCTTGAAGCAGAAACACATCAGGTGAGTTGAGCAGCAACAACGTCGACTACAATGATAAATGCCTGAGCTAAAGTGAGCCTGCGTGCGGAGCCGAGCATTCATCATGTGCAGTACAGGTCAAGTCTGCCGATGAGGCACGTGGCCACTCGGCTTCTACCTGATCCGATGTTGGGTCTGCTGCACTGTGCAGCTGTCGGCTCTGTGCAGGACGGAGCAGCAACACACATGATACAGCTCAGCTAAAAAATTAATGCTCCTGTATTCTGATACAGACGCTGGATCTTTGTGTGGAGACACGCGAACAGATGATGGATGTGATAAGAACTAGAAGAACTAATTATTGTTTTCCTTGTTACACCAGTAAAACACAATGAGCTTAGACTAACGTTACCTCCAGCGAGGAGGTTGTTTAGCTCAAAAACTACTGGACAGATTATTACGAAACTTGGTGGAAGGACGTGGTGTGGGTCACATTACACTTTGGTGCAGATCCGTATCAGGGGGTGGATCCAATCATTTGTTTTTAACTTTCTTTGACATTGTGAGACGGGGAGTTTAATAATTCATGGATCTTGATGAAAAAAAAACAACTAAAAAACAATTTGCAGATCCAAATAAACGAATCTTGTGAATAAAGACAGATTTTCTCACCCAGGCCTCCAGGAAGTGATTTAACAACAGGCTTCAGCTGAGCAATCTCCAGAGCTTCCCACAGCATCTCATCTGTAGCCTTCATCTCAGGATCCAGGTTGAACCTACACACACACACACACACACACACACACACACACACACACACTTTTGATCAGTGAATCAATTAATCATTCGATCTATAAAACATCATACAACAACCCCTGGTGGTCAGTGGGTGTGTTTTGCACCAACAGTCCAGACCTCAAAGAAATTCAGTTTGATATGAAGAAAGACAAACAGCAGGTTCTCTTCTCAACACTTGAGAAACTGCAACCATCAAATATTTAACATTTTATCTTGAAATGACAAATGATAAAGTCGCTCATCAAAATAATTGTGTATTCATTCTCCTCAAACTGTTCCCTCAGTACATCCCTTCCCCTCAGCAGGATTAAAGTTAAAGTAAAGATCAAAATGCATCATGATCATCAAACATTTAAACCTTTACTTGTCTTTAAATATACTTTTAGTCGATTTTACCGACAGCGTCACTCTGCTCCATGAGATCTGCTCATCTCCTCTTCTCCGACATGACAAAGCTTTTATGGCCACTGCTGCTGAAGTCTAAAAATAAACTTGCTTCGCAGAAGAGTTTTCAGAGGAATGTCCTCTTATCTAAACGCCCTCTGCTCCACTTGTGCTTCTAATAAGTGTCTCTGAAGTGTGGAACAACTGCTCCGGTAACTGTTTCCCCCCTCCATCCTAAAACCATCTCAGTGAGACTATCTGTGTCGCCGCATCTAAACGAGTGTTTCCTGTTGGTGGAACTGAGGGTGACGTGAAGTGCATTGTACCGGATGGTGCCGCTGAACAGGATGGGGTCTTGGAGGATGATGGACAAGCGAGACCTGAGGGTCTGCAGAGGCAGCTTGGCGATGTCGATGTCATCAATCACGATCCGCCCTGTGAAAGGAAGAAAAATACCGTTCACACCCAAACACATCAGTCAGTCCAGTTAGAAGCAGGAGGTTCTCAGTATTTAAGACATGAGGTGCAAAGCTGTTTCTAGCTAGCTAGAAACCCTTGTGAAATGTTTTACCCTCGAACATGTCGACCATGCGGAAGAAGGCCAGGGAGAAGGAGGATTTGCCGCTTCCTGTCCGGCCACAGATCCCCACCTGAAAACAAACGAGTTCGAATCGCCAAAAATCAACCAATCAGCTAATAAACATCATCAATTTACAGAATATTTCCTGGTCTTTGTTTTTGTGCGCTCAGCTGTTTGTTTACCTTCTGTCCGGGGCTGATGTGTGCGTTGACATTTTTGAGCACCGGCTTCAGCGTGGCGTCATATCGGACGCTCAGATTCTGGATCTTGATCTCTCCCTGCCGGGGCCAGCCGTCAGGAACCTGAGACACAGCTGAGACAGACACAGACACGTCAGTGAATAAAGATGGACGACATGACAGCCTCCTCAAAAGTGGAGACCTGTCATCAATCTTTATGTACGCTGTGTTTCCTACACTTTAAAAAGCTAAAA